AATGGTTGGGATGACCTTTTTAGTGCAAAATCTTGCAATCGATAGTCAAATCAAATGTGATATACTTTGGGCCCAAGGAAATCCATGCCAGACCGATCCAGTACTTTCAGTACACTTGTGACCCATATATGACGAAGCACAGACCTAGTCAAAGTAATGTTATGTGTGCATGATTATACTAAACCCAGTAGGTTGTATGGAATTATTTATAAATTTTGCAAAAAAATATTTTTTGAAGCGAGTGCCCATTGTTAGCCCATTTGAGTCAAATGGTTGGGATGACCTTTTTAGTGCAAAATCTTGCAATCGATAGTCAAATCAAATGTGATATACTTTGTGCCCAAGGAAATCCATGCCAGACCGATCCAGTACTTTCAGTACACTTGGTACTCATATATGACGAAGCACAGACCTAGTCAAAGTAATGTTATGTGTGCATGATTATACTAAACCCAGTAGGTTGTATGCAATTATTTTATAAATTTTGCAAAAAAATATTTTTTGAAGCGAGTGCCCATTGTTAGCCCATTTGGGTCAAATGGTTGGGATGGCCTTTTTAGTGCAAAATCTTGCAATCGATAGTCAAATCAAATTTGATATACTTTGTGCCCAAGGAAATCCATGCCAGACCGCTCCAGTACTTTCAATACACTTGGTACCCATATATGACGAAGCACAGACCTATTCAAAGTAATGTTATTTGTGCATGATTATACTAAACCCAGTAGGTTGTATGCAATTATTTTATAACTTTTGCAAAAAAAATTTTTTGAAGCAAGTGCCCATTGTTAGCCCATTTGGGTCAAATGGTTGGGATGGCCTTTTTAGTGCAAAATCTTGCAATCGATAGTCAAATCAAATTTGATATACTTTGTGCCCAAGGAAATCCATGCCAGACCGATCCAGTACTTTCAGTACACTTGTGACCCATATATGACGAAGCACAGACCTAGTCAAAGTAATGTTATGTGTGCATGATTATACTAAACCCAGTAGGTTGTATGCAATTATTTTATAAATTTTGCAAAAAAATAATTTTTGAAGCAAGTGCCCATTGTTAGCCCATTTGGGTCAAATGGTTGGGATGACCTTTTTAGTGCAAAATCTGGCAATCGATAGTGAAATCAAATGTGATATACTTTGTGCCCAAGGAAATCCATGCCAGACCGATCCAGTACTTTCAGTACACTTGTGACCCATATATGACGAAGCACAGACCTAGTCAAAGTGATGTTATGTGTGCATGATTATACTAAACCCAGTAGGTTGTATGCAATTATTTTATAAATTTTGCAAATAAATATTTTTTGAAGCAAGTGCCCATTGTTAGCCCATTTTGGTCAAATGGTTGGAATGACCTTTTTAGTGCAAAATCTTGCAATCGATAATCTAATCAAATTTGATATACTTTGTGCCCAAAGGAAATCCATGCCAGACCGCTCCAGTACTTTCAATACACTTGGTCCCCTATATATGACGAAGCACAAACCTAGTCAAAGTAATGTTATTTGTGCATGATATGATACTAAACCCAGTTTGTTGCACAATTTGCACAACAATATGTTATTAAGCAAGTGCCATTTGTTCGCCAATTTTATTCAAATAATGGAGATGACCGCTTTAGTCCAAAGGCTTCCAATCAATCAAATTTGATAAATCTGTCGCTTTTAAGTAATCTAAATCAATCCTCCGAGATTTTCTTTTCTCGAAATGCGACATTAAGTACAAAGAATGCGCTATCATCTAGTTACTGTAATTTTATGAACTGCCATCCAAAAATGTAAAACGCTTTAGGTACATAAATCAAGATTTCATAAAAAACAGCTTTTCGATTTTACTTTTCGAATATAGCATTTGCAAGGTGTGAGCAACAAAATTTTGATTTAGAGAAGACCGTGGAAGTGTTAGGTCACTCCCAATATTAATTAATTTTACAGCGTGCGTTAAAAAGTGGGATTTATACAAACACGATAAGTAGGTAGGTATATCTCTCTTTCAAGGCCAACTCTGAATCAAAATTTTGTAGCTCACTCGTTATTATTCCTGCAGTACAAGCAAGGTCATTAAGTAGATAATGCTTTTATTATTCACCGTTGATTGCATTGCAACGATAAATGTAAACAATGAACATCTTTAATACGCATACGCATGTATATACTGCAATGTCACTTTCCTATGTAGCCAAAAACGTGTTTGAATATATCAACAACATTTATACAGGACCCCCTTTTTAAAACATACTTACGCCGTTCCATGTAGCCAAAAATGCCTTAACTTAAGTAAAAACGTTCGTAGCCAAAGTTGGTGTTTTACGATTAAATTTTAATATTTATACTACTTTATACCGGTATAAAGTTTATACCGTATATAATTTATACTGTAGCCAAACTTAACCGAAAACATGTATGTATATATATATATATATATACACATACGATATACGAGCCTAGTTTTACTTCGCTTTCAATGTTGTCTTTGAGTGTCAATCCTGGGTGCTACATCGCAAATATTACCACCGCCGCGGCGCTATCGCTATCATTCCGTACGCCTCTATACCTACACCAGCGAAACTACATATAATAAGGTAGTATCTCTTATCTGTTTTGACTAATTTGTAATTACATTTAAGCCAGCCTAAAGGCTTTATTTTGGGCTTGGTTCTTTCTTATACAGGGTGTCCCTAAAAGGTCTGTACAATGCGCTCCCAGGGGTTCTTGGTATCAAAATAGGACGATTTAACCCAACTTACCTCTATCCAAAAGTGCTTCGGTAAGGCGCTATCTACCGCCAAAGATTTAAAAAAAAAATCGTTATTTTTATTTTATCGGAAAATGGTTTTGCCGATTAAAATGAAATTCGGGATCTGAATGTCTAATGTAAAAAGGGTCTTTGTGATATCATCGTTTTGATTGTAGTTGCTATGTAGGTGGTAAAATACTGACCATCCACATCTGAAGAGGTCTAAAACTTTTTAACTACTATTTTGACGGTTCTGAATTTTTAGACACTGATAGACAGTTTACTTGCAAGCATTTTTTGTCTCTTGATGAATATCGCTATCTGTGATGGTTTACGAAAAAAAAAATTTAGGCATGATGAATGGCATGCACCATACATGCGATTGTTCCTAAAAAAATCAGAAGATGGCTGTGAAACAGAGTGGCGTAACGTTTGTTTGTTGTTTCTTCAACTTTAACAATTTACATTTTGCTTGAAGACTTAAAATTTCATTGTTAAAATTGTAATATGGCCTTTCAATACAGTAACGCAGAGTTAACTGATATGCTATTAGTGTTTGGATACTGTCGTGGAAATGGTCGCAAAAAAAAACGTAAATTGTTAAAGTTTAAGAAACAACAAACAAACGTTACGACACTCTAAGATTTCACAGCCATCTTCTGATTTTTTTAGGAACAATCGCATGTATGGTGCATGCCATTCATCATGCCTAAATTTTTTTTTTTCGTAAACCATCACAGATAGCGATATTCATCAAGAGACAAAAAATGCTTGCAAGTAAACTGTCTATCAGTGTCTAAAAATTCAGAACCGTCAAAATAGTAGTTAAAAAGTTTTAGACCTCTTCAGATGTGGATGGTCAGTATTTTACCACCTACATAGCAACTACAATCAAAACGATGATATCACAAAGACCCTTTTTACATTAGACATTCACATCCCGAATTTCATTTTAATCGGCAAAACCATTTTCCGATAAAATAAAAATAACGATTTTTTTTTTAAATCTTTGGCGGTAGATAGCGCCTTACCGAGGCACTTTTGGATAGAGGTAAGTTGGGTTAAATCGTCCTATTTTGATACCAAGAACCCCTGGTAGCGCGTTGTACAGACCTTTTAGGGACACCCTGTATATATATAAAAATGCTTCCCATCCAATTCGCGGTCTAAAACTATGGACCCTTAATCTGACAATACATTGCGACACGACTCGACTGGACAATCGTACTGTACGATTTGGGACGAAACACAAGGGGTTAAGAGGTACAAACGAAATCGCTCCATGCGTCTGAAAATGAGCTGAGCGGCATTTTAGGGCGGAAATGGAGCAGTTCACTATATGGTAAGATAATTGCAATGGTCAAAATGGAAATAAAATTATAGTTCCTGTCTATATGTGGTTGATGAACAAAATCCCTGATCTAAAAGTCATTAAGTATACCTAAGTATTTATTGAAAGGGCACAGGCACATGGAAGCGGATCTAGTATATGCTACCATCGAACGAAAGAAAAGGACACTTAAAACGTTAGATATTGTTGTTCCTCGTGACTGGGCTCAGTTCATAAGTACATGCGGATGTCTCTTTAATTCGACTTAAACATTTACTTTAAACAGCGTAATAAAACATCACTTAAACATCTAAAAGTTCTTAACCCGGCTGAACACGCGTAGAAAAAAGTTACACGCGTCTATTGTCTAAATGATCGGGTCGTTTTTTTGCGCTCTAAATTCTTCTTTTTGAGCAGATAAAAATTAATACTAATAACTTATAAACCTTCTTCTTTAATATTTTGCTAAGAAATTGTTTTTTCGTACAAAGTAATTTCGGTTACACGAAAACAGCATAAAATAGTAAAACTCTCACTAAGATTACATATTACACAAAAATAAAAACTAACAAATGGGTAATGACAAAGTATAAAACTTGTTATATGTTATTCTTTTTGTTCCATACATGTTGTATGTTCTCTACACTGGCACTGGGCACATTGCGTTTTTGTTTTTCTGTTTTTTCTCCAAGAACAAAAATAACATCTTCCAGCAGCTGATTGGCTTGTCCCTTCACCGGCTGCTTTACTGGGCTCATGTAAAATTTCCATTATTCGATTTTTGATATTTAGCGGCAGAGTAACAATCTCTAGGCGTCTTTGCAAATTTTGGAGTACAAGGTCTTTTGCAAGCAGTTTTAGAAATTTTCGACGCGGCATGCAATCGGTGGTATTTTTTTGGTATATAATTTGACATTTATACCTGCGATATTCAGCATCGAAAAAAATATTGTAAGAGGCACCTGCTGCTTTTTCGTGACACCGAATAATTGCCCACTACGTCCACTCCTCCCTTCGTGCTATTGTAAAATGTTAACATAGCAGGTTTGCAAGCATCGCCCGTCTCTTGATCGATTTCATCTGCAGAATGCATCGTTGAGAGCAACAGAACGATTTTATTTTGTTTGGGTTTATATGACGCTAATGTCATGTTCTTAGTAAAGCCAAACATGCTCGTATTTATTCTTTGTTCCTTGATTTTTGCGGAAAAAAATTCAGGAATTTCACGTTTGTTCTTCCGCAGTGTTCCTACCAAGGTTAAATTGTGTTTTTGTAGTAACTCGAGCGCCAGAGGTATTGACGTAAACCAATTATCGCACGTCACATTTCTCCCAGTTCCCGAAATAGGCTGAATTAACTTTTTTACCACAGCAGCAGCGCTGTTGTCCACTTTGAAAGGTCCATCCGGCTGATTCCCAACGTACACTTTCAAATTATGTGTGTAAAAGAATCTTGCGTCAACCATTGCTAAAATTTTCAGCCCATATTTCGCAGGCTTATTTGGAATGTACTGACGAAATGCACAGCTGCCGCGAAACGACTCCAGCATTTCGTCAATGGTTAACAATTCAGAAACATTGTAATTTGTGTTGCACCTGTACACAAAGACATCGAAAATTTCTCTAATAGGAGCTAATTTATCAAATTGCTTCCGAAATTCTCTATCATTCACATTATCGAATCGTAAAGCCCGTAATATGAACTGGAAACGATTGAGTCCCATAGTAAGTCGAAAATATTCTACCCCTGTACCGTCTTGCATCCATAAGTCTCTCAAATTTATGTGGGATGATCGCTGAACCCCTGCCAAATACAAGAGACCCAAAACGGCCTTGATCTCAACCACATCGGTATCTGCTGCATCACGTGCTCTGCTGTAACGAGGTCTCATTTTCGCAATATATCGGTTAGTGCATTCAACTATTTTTTCCAGAATAGAATCCGGAAAATATAATTTCCAAGAGTCTAGAACTGTATTTGCATTTTTGGCGATCGTAGTAACTCCGGCGGCTTGAGTAACAACATTTTTTCCTTTGGTTTTAGTTTTTGATAAAACTACTGGTACCTTACTCCACAAAGTGTTTTTATCTTTACCGATAAAACACAAACCAGACTTGATGTTTTGTTCCCTCAGTTCTTCATCATCGGAACCGCCTACCACTTCTTCTTCGAGTTCGTTCCAGAGTTCTAGAAGATGTCTTTGCTCTTTTTCGTAATACGACATATTCTGAAAATATAAACCACAAAGTTATACGTAAATTATTTTCACACTAAAAAAATATTTTTAATCACTTTGAAATTCTAATATATCTAAAATTTAGCCTCTATGAATTGTTTACGCGTACTTACCAAAATCTACGAAGAATAAAACAAAATAAGTGATGACAACTATCTCAATTGCACAAAACACTTTCCTTCCTAAACAACACGCGCTATTGTCGAAAGCACCGGGTTTGTAGAACGCTCAATTAAATCGACGATAAAATGGCTATGCACGCTTAAAACTGACTGAATATGACACTGGCACGTCAAGGACAACCCACAATAAGCATTCCTAGCGCTGTAAATCCCTCCCTTTCCTACAAAAGGCCCCACATAAAATTTCCAGACGAACCGGTCATAATGACCGTGGCGCGTGTACTCTCGGGTTAAATTGCGTTGCTGATTCCACCGAATCAATTTAATGAAAGATTCGCGGTACGCATATTCATTACCACTAAATCATGTACCTACATTACAGCGAAATAAAATAATTTCGCCGTCGTTTCAAGGATGGGATGTTCACTTCTTGCATGATATTACTATATTCGCCTTTAACATATGATGTTCCCATTTTTTATTCCAAACATCTCAAAAATTTTTTTTGAATATTTTCAATAGGGTAAGGTGGGGCAAGATGACAAATTTGATTTTGTTGAAAACCAAAAGAAGAAATCTGCAATATATCAGACCCTGTGATGTCTGGTCGGGACCTAGTTATACCTCAAAAAGATAGGTGGCACTTCCTTCCCTACTTTCGAATTTATATTTGAAGTGGTGTTTATTGGCTATTCCTTATAATATTGTTGGGTAGTAAATTTTTTTGCAAAAAGTGAGTTTAAAACTTTTCCTAATTGATGTTTATTTTGCTGTTAGGACCCAATAGCTTAACAATGTAAGTACACGAACTAATTTTATTTATTGTTTGTTTTATATATAACGATTTTGTTATAAATTCTCATTGGGGCAAGTTGACGGGTGCAAGCGAACTCGTCATCTTGCCCCAAGGAGTATTCCTTAACATATCTTCTTTTACAGATGGTGCGTAACTATAAAAGAAAAAGTGAACGCCGGACGTGGTCAGAAGAAAATTTAATTGCTGCCATGTATGCAGTCGAAAATGAAAATATGGCAGTTAATAGAGCCAGCATAGTTTACGAGGTGCCTGAAGCAACACTGCGACGATATGTTAAAAAGGATAGGGAAAACGAAACATCACCGGAAAGCGGCGGCAGATTTAAACATACTTTCACTGAAATCAAATTCGCTCTAACTTTTAACAGACTGTCAAAGTGTATACGAAGATAAAACCTAACAAATAATTCATAAATATAAGGAAATTATACGCACAGCAAGCTTGTACCACAGCAATAAATATGTTACAATTTTCACTGTTGTAGCAACATCTATGCCCAGCGAAAGACTTTTTTTCTAAAGTTGGAGCGACTAAATAACGATTTAGTTTTAGTTAAATATAATAAGCTCAGTTGATCCCGTAAAAATACACCAGGTGGTGTAATTTTCTACGATCATTAAGTAAGTTAAACGTGGTTAGTAGGTGCATAACGAGCTTTTCAATTAGGATTAATTATGTGAAGTAATTGGACACTGGTTGTTAATTAGAAAATACACCTAAATGTGGTGTAACGATAATGAGGTGGGAGGTATACTATATCGCCATATGTAATGGATCTACGCTAATAAATGATGCGAAACGATGGCAGCTTAATGAATTTTGAACGCTAGGTAATACGAATCTAAGGTAAATTACGCGTCTACTACTCATGGGCTAATATTGACTTACACGCCAGACTTGTGTAATTAAAAACTTTAGTTTCTCTAATTACATTTTGAAATGTTGACTGCCTGCTTTTATAAATCGATCAGGGGGTTCTGTTAAAATAATTCGGCCGCTTCAGGCCTACTGTGTCTATACACGCATTGAAAAATTGATGTTAATTATAATAATTTATTTAGTACATGTTTGGCCTAGTGTTTGGCAGACGCTTTACGAATTTGATATTACCCGAACGTTGGTCAACAAGGCACAAGACATATTCCAAAGGGCATGAGATAATTTACAGTCGCTAGCTCGGTAGGGCATATAGATTATTCGTACAGTTCACCGCAACTTAGCACTTAAATTGAGCGCCACCCAGTTTCTTGAAAATTCTTAACCTCATTCGTATGAAGTATTGCAGGAAGACGATAAAATAAAAAAGTTGCAATTTCTCGCAACGAAATATTCCAAGTTCACTTTCGGTTGATGAGTATTGACCGAAATTTAATCACTTGGTCCCTTGACCATTGTCTACCTATTACTCAAAACAGAATTGGAAAATTCGAAACCGTTAGAGAGTTATCATGTACACAGACGGATGGACGGACAGAAAGTTCAAAATCATAAACTCGATTTTTGTCGTTCGTTAATAAACAGGATAAGAGTTTAATAATTATCTCTTTTACAAGAATTCCGAAAAATGTAAAGTTATCCCTAAAGTCGGCACCGATAATGAAGTTACAAGTATCCCACAAAAGTAATAATTTCGCCTTTATTGACCAGCATAGGAAAGCTCTGTTGCTATGACTGCAGCAATTCACCTTAACGCAAAAGAAAGAAACCAAGAGAACAAACCCGAGAAAATCGACTCGATAATTAAAGTGACGCATTCTTGTGATGAATTGAAAATTAACATTACTAATTTACGAGTATACCTTGAGTTCTAAGTAATTTCTAAGCTTGACAAATTTAATAATTTAATTTACAAGGAAGAATATTAAGCAGTTAAATAACAAACAGCGATTTTGTTTTTATGGCATTAAATATTCAATTTGCTGCGAATGGAGGGGCGGTTTTAGTCGTTTTGTGAGAGTTTATAAAAATCAATGCAATCCACATTTGATATCCATTAAGCCGCCTATGAGACCCAGCGGGGCACGTCACATGCCAAATGCTTCTTGCATTCATTTCAACAGGCATCGATTTAACGTAATGTCAAAGCAAAGTTTAGTGCTATAGGTATTTGGTATTGGCAGTCAGTTCCACCCGATTACTTCATTGAAAGCGTTAAAACTTTTCCTATACGCTACCTTGTAAATAGCTCTAATGGAGTTACGAATTTAAAAAATGTCACGAATTATATTCTAAAGGCGAATCTGTCTTGGGGCAAAACGTTTTGTCCACAAAGCTGCAACTATAATCATTCGAAGGCTGTTCTGTAATATAAACGTAAATCATTCTTTCCAATTATATACAAAAAATCTTGATGTAAGTCTGAATTGAAGACATAGCTACAAGCAGCCCACCCCCACCCTTTCTGGAAACAATCCGTCTCAATATTAATACGGTACTTATGTCACGCACAAACTACGTCAATTTTGGTCTGATCACAACCTATCCAATTTATTGTTCAGAAAGAAAACAGTTTTTCTATTGATTTGGATGTAACAGAATATTCCAGAGTCGGAGATTGGAAACTATTTCGGATATCAACTTCAGATTTTCACTAGATTAGTATGCCGTCTAGTTGTGAAAAGTACAACAAAAAAATATTCGCACGGATTGTCGACGTTCATAAAATAATTGAAAGTAATGAAGAAGATTGCGTTAAAAATGCCAACAAATCTTTCTTTATTGTCGTCACGTCTTATAATTAATAATGAATTTTGGAATATTAACTACAACACCTCTTAACATTGGTCTTGCTTTGGTGATCTCTATAATTTCACAAGGAATACCCTGCTCCACGATACGTGTATCGTACGTGCCCTGCTCAAGGTTTCGGTTCACAATAATCGTGCGAGACACGCTGTAACCTCCGAACTCGTTGGCTCCAATCTGTCCGCCTGTCAGCATAGATAAGTTTACTTAATTAGGGTTATGTGATTAAAAAACCAAAATCACGATTAGATCATTCTCTGGCAGTGGAAATGCAGCGGAAGTCAGTTTCGAGTTTTGTTCATTCCGATAACGTTTTGTATTTGGTGAAAGAAATTGTGTTTTTGATGCAGGTAGTTTGCCCGGAGAGAGAGAAGACCTTTCCCTTTCGAAAGTTATATGTTTTGGGCCTCTGGAAGTAGTGACCGTAAATTGGATTACGCAATAAATAAGGAAACACATGTCTTCCCGACGTTAGACAATAAAGAGAAGAAAACCATAGCTAGTTAATACTCAAAAAACTCGCATCACACGCTATTTGGGGGGGGGGGGGGGGCGAACTGACCCAAACGCAGTCCTTAGATTATCCTGCGAAAATGTTATTATATAAGAAGGATACACAATATGCGGACCTTCTCTGTCACTCATCACGCTACAAACTGTATGCAAAATCTCCCAAATACATGTGCATCAAGCTGTTCAACCATCTGCCTCGCGATATACGAAGACGTAACACACATATACACTTTAAATCAGCTGCTCGAGGAATGTTTCTCAACCACCCATACTATATACATGTAGTATCGAAAAAGGGTACGCCCAAGAGGTCATCGGTCTAGTGTAACCTCCTTTTTTTGATACTTACAATTATTCCTGCCACTACGTGCAACCCAAGGTGACAGGGCGATATAATATTTCCCGGACCAGCTCTCTCCCAAAGTTAACAAAGTATGGGGAGTTATTTAATACCTCATGCTTAGCAGATCTGATTGCAAAAGCTACCTTTTGTAATAAAGAGCTCCAATTCTTTTGGTTATCCTCTACAAATGAAGATAGGACCGTCTTCAAAACTTTTTTTACCCTTTCAGTGGGATTAGCTTGTGCATGATAGTAGGGTGTGTAGCGTATGCTAACGTTGTAAGTTGACATTAGTTTTTGGAATTCTTTAGACCTAAATTGTACTCCGTTGTCTACTATAATTGAGGTGGGGACACCGAAAAACAAGATCACATTTTCCTCGATAAGCTTTACAATAGTAGTAGTCGATTACTTTTCCAAGTTTTCCTTTGCGGAAAGCAACAGCTACTCCTTACCTTACTTAAAGACGTAGAAGGTTCATTGGAGAAATTCAGTGGGGACGATTCGATAACTGAATCGATGGATCAGACATTTCGAAGAAATGGCGGAAGTGTGTAGGTGAACCGATATTCACAAAGTCGCGTTCGCGAAGAAGCTACTAACAGGCTCAGCCCTGACGTTCGTGAGGCAAGAAAGGTGTACGAAGACGTGGTTGAAGTCTAAAAACGCCTTGAAAGACGAGTTCGAGCATGTGGTGAGCGATCAACAAATTCACCGCGAGCTGGGGCCAAGGAGGAAGAAATCCGACGAGACCTTGCAGCAATACATGTACAATATGCGCGAGATTGAGGCACAAGGAATAGTAGATACGAAATCTTTGAGTAATTCAGGGTATTCCCGACGGAGTTTGGAACAAGGCTGCGTTATATGGGGCTAGGACCATGCATTGAAAGAGCGGTTCAAGCAGTATGAGGCGATAAGAGATATGAAGACGAAAACAAAAATCGTGGAACGAAAGGATGATAAAGAAAGACGACCGGAAGAAAAGAATAGTCCAAAGCGGAAGCCGACGGATAGTGAAAAGCGGAAGTGTTATACTGCCGTGTTAATCCAAAAGGGCGTATCTGCAATTTTATCAGAAAGTGAGTTAATACGTTTATATGTGTCTTCACACGCAATTCTATCATTCTATTAAGATCGTCAGGCGTATCTACATATACTTTGGATGCAAAACGTGAGTAAAAAAAGGGCGTATCTACAATTGAAGATGTTTTGTTAAACAGAAAAGTCGTATGTGATGTTGTTATGTAGAATGGGCGTATCTACATAATTTTTCGTTAGTTACGCCTTTTTCTCTTAACATAACCCTGCAATTTTACCGCCAATTTATATGCAATGTATTCTAACCTATATTTTTTGTGTTGGGTGTGTGTGTAAGCTACTCCGGGTTTAAATAGTTTCAGTGTGGTAGCTCTTGTGAATTATGGAAAATAGAGGTAAGAAGCTAGTCAGCCTTGCATTAAATAAGGAACTTGCTAATAAAATTAGTGACTTTAAACGTAACAAAGCGCGATTTAAAGATGCAGAAGTTTGTGACCCAGATTATATACCGGATGTTGAATGTTATTCAGTAAAAGAACAAAGTAACAGTGAAACAATTAGTAACGCAGCAAGTACTGCTGGGTTAAAAAGTGGTACGGGAGTATCAGTATCGTTAGCACCAAAAGTAAACAAAATAAACGTTTTAAGTCATGTAATCATCAACCCATCCATTCATCAGTTTCCAATTTATGCTGGCAATGTTAATGAAGTTCCTACAGTTAATGAAGGACTTGTTAATAGTGATAGTCAATTCATTTCCTCCTTGTTAGATGAAATGTTGGATAACGTAATCCGGCAAGTATGCAACAAAAAAGGTGAAGTCCGAAAGCGAAAAACCTATGCACAATCAGTAAAAGAAAGAATGCAAATAAAATCGCAGAATATTAAACAAAAACACAATCTGCAAGGATCTTGTAAAGCACAATGTAAAAAGAAGTGCGGAAAGATAATTGATAACAACCATCGACGTATCATAAATACGCAATATTGGGACATGTCTAAACATGAACAAAAGAATTTTATTTTACATAGTGCAACCATAATGGGCATTAAAAGAAACACTACTGGAAGATCCGATTCAAGAAGGTCGAGAACCTTTAATTATTTTTTCAAGGATGCCAAGGGTGAGCCACAAAATGTTTGTAAAACATTTTTCCTTGGCACTTTAGGATATGCAGCTAGCAACGATAAAGTTGTAAGAAATGTTTTATCAAAAGCACAAAGCACATCACTGTCAGCAAAAGCCGATGGACGTGGCAAACACAACTCAAAGAAAATTGATCGAAAGATTATAGTTGAGCATATCGAATCATTTGGTCCAACCATTTCCCATTACCGAAGGGAGCATGCACCACAAACAAGATACCTTCCAAGCGACATAAGTATCAAGTTGATGTATGATGATTTTAAGAAAAAACACCCAAACGTTGTATTTTCGTATTATCTATATCGAGAAGTTGTAAGCAGTATGAGTATCAGCTTTGCCAAGTTAGGGCATGAAGAATGCTGGACGTGTGAAAAGATGGAGCAACACGGAAAGAATACTGGACACACGAAGAATAATTTGAACTTTGAATGTGAGGAGTGTACACGATGGAATACACATCATAATAAGTATACAGAATCTCGCAAACGATACGAAATTGATTCATCATCGATTCAAGACCGAAACAAATTAATAATTACGGTAGATTTACAAAAGGTAGTTCATCCAGTTTTATTATTCTTTATTAATTATTGTATTTTTAAGGTGATCATGCTTCCGAGATGCGATACATTTAAGGAAATTCTCTTCACTCCGAGAATCATTGCATTTAATGAGAGTTTCGTGGTTGCTGGTAAAAATAAAGTAATTGCTCCCGTCGCAGTAGTTTGGCACGAGGCCATTGCAGGACGGTCCAAAGAAGACATTATTAGTAGCTTTTATGCGTACCTCTTGTCAATCCGAGATATAGAACACCTTGTTATATGGCTGGACAATTGTTCAGCCCAAAACAAAAATTGGTGTCTGTATTCTTTTCTTGTTTACATTGTAAATTCCGATGAGGTACGCCTTCAATCCCTGGAATTGCGATACTTTGAACCTGGTCATACATTCATGGCGGCTGACTCGTTCCATCACCGTGTTGAAGTTGCTCTTAAACGAAAGGGTAAAATATATGACTTTTTAGACTACGTAGACGCTATAAAGAGTGTGCCAGCAAAAGTTATAGAAATGAGTATCGAAAATTTTTATCTCTGGAAAGATAATTGTTCACAATTTAAACTTAACAAAATTACCCCACGCCCATACATCTCTGAAATGGTAGAAGTTAGTTTTGCGAGAGGAGACAGAACAATAAGTTATAAAACAGATTTCAATCAGCCTGCTGTGAAACTCAATTTTTTAAAAGCGGCGTGCCAGAAAAGCGGAATTATTAAACCAGACTGCAAAACTGCTCCCAGAGGAATTTCGAAGGACAGAAAAGACTTAATCATTAGTAAATTAGGCAGCATTATGCCTACAAATCGATTAAATTTTTGGAAAAATATACCCGTACATCAAATACCACCTACCGATCTTGATGAGGACTAGTTAAGAATTTTTTTTTCTTTTATGTACTTTTTATTAGTCAATTTACTCTTTAAATTGTTGTCTTCGTTCAAATTCTCAGAAATAAAATTGTACAAAAGCCAAGAAACTTTTTTTTTTATAGTTACGCCCTATTCGGTAATGAAAATCAGTACATTTGTTAGGTTAAAAAGTCGTATCTATCAAAAGTCATATATTTAGCAAAAATTATAAACCGTGGTTAATATTGTTAGAAACTTAACCTAATTTGTCGTGACATTAGCAAATAACGATACCTGTAACTTAAAACCACTTGTTGGCAATATAAAAATTGTAAAACAACAAATATCTCAAAAGTAAAATTTTGTCAGTTACGCCCTTTTGGATTAACACGGCAGTATAATTGTGGTAGTGTGACGCATTTAAGTGTTAAGTGTCCGGAAAAAGAAAGGGGGACTAAGTGTTTCAGGTGCAACGAGTTCGGCCATATTGCAGCACGGTGTTCAAAAGAAACGAAGGAGGCCTACGTAGGGTTTGGGTCCACTGGCAATGAAACTTGGGGCGAATTTACGAAAGTAATGACTGTAGATGGGCATGAATTTCCGGTAACTTTGCATGTAGTATCTAATCAGGTTTTATCAAAACACAGCTTATTGTTGGGTACTGATTTCTTGGATCAGGTAGAGTTGTGAGTCAAACGGGGGAAGCGACTTTATTTCGACTAAACGAACAGACTGATTACCACAAGGACAGTCGGATATTTTTAAAATAAATATAATAGAAGCAGCTAAAGAGGTAGATTATTATACAAACTGTGGACCATTGTCCGTAACAATAACTCTAGGTAATCCAAAACGTGAAAAACATTCTCTAAATTTCTCTATGGTAGCGAGTGATTCGGCAGATGACATGACAAATGCTTCCGGTCATTTAGAATAAGTATCAATACTCAATAATATCATCTTGCCTTTAATCGGTCCCATAAAGTCTGCATGCAACCTCTCATAAAAATAGTTGGAAATTTTTGTTGAAATTTGTGTCGCTTTAGTTGGTTCTGGTTTATTGATCGCTATCTTTTTTCGTACCGGAATTCAGTTCATGCAACTACGGGTGTAGCACCGAGTAGTCTTATTTTTAAACATAAAATTAAAACTAGATTGGATTTGCTTTGTCCAAACTTAAATTAATTAAATAAGCCGGAGAAAAGAGTAGAGAACTGTAAAGGAAAAAGGGACGAAAGGTAGAGTATAAACCGGAGAAAACGCGAAGGTTAGCACCTTGTGAGAGAAAAGAAGGTTGAAGATGTAATGAAACTATGGACAAAGGAAGGGGTTATAAGAACTTCAAATTCTGAGTATGCAAGTCCCATTGTTGTAGTAAGAAAGAAAGATGGTTCCATCAGAGTTGGCGTTGATTTTCGCGAACTAAATACGAATTTTTAAAACCGCCGTTTGGGTTGAAAATTTCTCCCAATGTATTTCAAAAGTATATTACTATGAGTTTTAAGGGTTTTATAGATAGAGGTATTCTCATAGTATATATGGACGATATCGTTATTCTTGCAAAGAATTTACAAGAGACCTGGGAGCGTCTGTCAATGGTCATAAAATTAGCCGAACAGCATGGGTTGGATATTAACTGGAACAAATGTCGGTTTATGTTAAGGGTAATTGAATATTTGGAACACGTGGTTTCAAAGGACACCGTAAAACCGTCCACTTCTAAAACGAGGGCCGTTGCAAACTTTTCCAAGCCGACATCTGTTAAAAAGGTTCAAAGCTTCCTGGGGCTTACGGGATATTTTAGAAAATTTATTACGGGTTAACGCGAAGATTGCTAAACCATTAACAGGTTTGTTAAAAAAAGAGGCCAAGTTTCTGTTTGGAGATCGCGAAACCGAAGCGTTTGAGGCATTAAGACAGTACTTACAAATGGGCCCGTGTTAAAATTATATAGGACAGGGGCTAAGACGGAATTACATACAGACGCGTCCATAGACGGATACGGGGCGATTTTAATGCAATTGGACCCAGATGACGAGAATTTCCAGCCAGTTTATTTTGCCAGTGGAAAAACATCACCTGCAGAGGCGAAGTACACTAGTTACGAGCTAGAGGTACTGGCAACAACACCTAAAATACAAAGACGAAGTAATGGCGTTAAAACTGCTGTGACGTCACGCCTTGTAGGCCTGCGTATACTCAGCTTGCGCGCGCTGCTAAGTACTCGTTACGGCGTGTTAATGACTCAAGTCAATCACTAAGTGATCTAAATTTTACCCATTATTTATCGTTTGAACGTTTTATTTGATATTTTTTGTAGTTTCAACAAACCTCAATAGTGTAGTAATAAGTGTACTTGATCGTAACGCCTCTGAAGTGTTTCGGTTTCCTGTAGTTGATGAACGTTGTATAAAATGGCTAACAGCAGAGTCTGTGAATGTCACTTTGTAAAGGAGGATTTCATCTACAAGATTTCCCAACAGGATACAAAAAACGGGCGAGATCGCTTCAATTACTTTAACGTTGCCACGATTAAAAGAAACTAGTGTACCAAGTAAATTTCGGAATTTGCCAAAATACTTGTCGAAAAACTATCACATCGAAATAGCAAAGACGAAAAACTTAAGGAATTAGGTGAAATACGTTTTCAACAAGCGATTAAAGAAAGCAAGCGAGACTATAAAACACATAAGAAACTTACTGCTTATACAACAACAGGAACTCACCCAATTATTTCAATCTTTTAATTTGAGCGAGGGATGGTTTTCAATTACTGATCGCAATGGATTAACCATATTCAAATTAGAACACACCCCCGGGCCTTCAATTACTTGGGCCGTTGTCATTGCGAATAACTTACAAGTAAATACATATTTGTATGGGCAATTATTAAATGTACAAGTAAATGATCAAAAAACATCTTTCTTGTCAAGTAATTTAGACGAAATAAGAAATTTACTGGATACGATTGACACTTCGATGACTCTTCCGTTAGACACCAATGATCAGAATACTAAACGAGACAATTCCCATCTCGATTATGATAATCTTGATAATTATGAAGATAATAATGAAGACAGGTCAAAGCTTAACCTTCGAATAGTCGCGCCAAGTTTTAAACCGTGCTTAGTCGCGCCGGTCTCAGAGACCGACCTAACGTAATTAGTGCCAAATAAGTAGCGCAATGTAACATGCATATGGGGAACGGTTCAACAACACAATAAATAACGAAGAAAAAGAAAATGAAGAACATTTGGTGAATTTCTCCAAATATACATCTTTGAAAATTGTGTTTGTATTGCTGCAGTTTATTCATATGTAAACAATAAAAACCTTAAAATAATAAGTAGAGTAAAATATGACACTATAACCTAATTTTCTCGACACTCCTGACAAACGCCAATAATATGTTCTAAGCACATATATTTATTGCACCTATGGCATTGAAACCGAGTCTTCCGATTTTTTTTCGAAGTACAGTATGCACATCTTCCAGGTAGAACAGGCTGTGGAACTTCAGGTTCGATATTCATCCCAGTGATTTCCTGCAGTCTCAGCTTTAGAGTTCGAGGAATATTGATCATTGCAGATCGTACTTGCAAATGGGGCTTGACCAAATCGTTGCCCAATTGCCTTAAAAAACGCCTTCTCAAAATTTTCTTGTCAGGGTTGTTGGAAACATAGACCACCTGCGAATTGATGCCAGCTACGTTCAACAAATTGTAGAAAACCACCATGGGCCATCTGCGCGTGTTTCTAGAACAGTTGTAGCTTGCAGTAAGTTTATCTACAGTGTCTACACCTCCCTTCGTTCTGTTATAGTCTGTAATCATCACGGGTTTATTTACATAGGTTTCTGAATCTATTTCATCTCTATCATGCATACTAGAAAGCAAGAGTACATTTTTTTTCTTTTTGGGTATATAGGAGACAAGCGTGCACCCTTGCGAAAACCCAAACATGCTGGTATGTTGCGGCCGCTCAGCAGGTTGAGAAAATTCTAATGGTAATTCTCTTTTATTCTTGCGTATGGTTCCAATTACTGTAAGGTTGTGATCAAGTAACTTTTTTACAAGTGGTATAGAGGTAAACCAATTGTCCATTGTGATATTGCGACCAGATCCAAAAATGTGTTTGCAAAGCCGTAGAACGACATCAAAGGGACTATTTGAAACTTTGTATGCCCCGTCAGGTTGTGTTCCGACGTAAATTTCCATCTTGCTTGTGTAGAAGAGTTTGGCATCACACAATGCTAGAATTTTTAACCCGTATTTATTGGGCTTCGATGGAATGTACTGACGAAAACTGCATTTTCCTCGAAATCCGGCCAGCATCTCGTCCACGGTCACAAATTCGGAGTGGTGGAATCCGTTCTGACAGTTAGCAACAAAACGGTCAAAAACATTGCGTATAGGAGCCAATTTATCTGTTTCTCTTCTCATTGCTCGAGTCTCTTTACTGTCAAATCTTAGGCAACGAATTAGAAATCTAAACCTTTGCAAACTCATGGCGAGGCGAAAAATTTCTACACCAGACCCATCATTACTCCATAAATCTTCGGCATTGAGACGATTTGCGTGATACACACCAGCCATATAAATGACTCCAATGAATGCACGAATTTCAATTAGATTAGTCGGGGTTGCGTCTCTTTTTCGCATAAAATTATTACGAACAGATTCAATACAGGGTGTTTTTTTGGGAGCTTTAGTTAAAAGTTTCTGGGAAAGTAAAATAGGTAGGTTTTTGAAAATTTGTACTTAGGAGTTACTCTGAAGGCCGAACCGATGTAAAATATTTTCAAAATGGCCGCACTTCCGGAAACACCGGAAGTAGATAGTAACTTCGTTATTTTAAATGGCAACCCCTATTTTTTATTGCTTTTTTGGATTCTACGTGAAATTTCACTTCTTTTGATACCCATATGTCGATATCTACCATTTATGGTTTTTAAGTTATTTTGACTTTAAGAAAAAAAATGGCGGATGCAGATGGTACCTTGATAATTGATTACTTGCAAAC